AAACTTCCTAGCTACCAAGCATGCCACAATCACGAAGTTTATCAGAGTCCCCAATCCCAAACACAGAACCCCTACACTAGGGATATGGCTCAGTAGTGGAGTGCCTCTGAGTTCAATCCCTGGTACCCACCCACTCCCCCCAAAAAAGTGCACAAACACTACCATTATTTCATTTACAAAATAATGATAATATCTTATGTTTTTGTTAGCTTTTTTGTCACTGTCACTAAAAGATCTGACAGGAACACATAGGAAGAAAAGTTTATTTTGGTTCATGGTTGTAGAGGTTATTTCTCGGACCAGCTGACTACATTGTTCTGGGCCCACAGTGAGGCAGAATCTCATGGCGGAAGGTGTGGGGCAGAAGAAAGCAGCTCTGACATGGCAGTCAGAAGCAGAGAGAGCTCCTTTCACCAGAGACAAAATAGAAACCCCAAAGGCATGCCCCCGGTGACCTACCTCATCCAGGGAATCCTAGCTGCCCACAGTTACTGCCTAGTTAATCCATATGAGTAGAAGAATCCACTGATTAGGTCACAACTCTCATCATCTGATCGTTTCATCTGTGAAAATTCTTGTATTATCTTATACTTAAGCTGTTGGGGGACATCTCATATCTAAACCATAACATTCTATCCTGGCCCCCAAAAGTTCATGCCAACTTCACGATGAAAAACACATTCAGTCAATTTCCCAGAGTCCCCAGAGTCTAAACAGTCCCAGCATTGCCCAAAAGTCCGAGTCCAAAATTTTCTTTGAGGTTCAAGGCAAACTTTTTCCCTGCAAATATGTACATTTTTCCAGAAGCAGGATCTCTAAAGTAGATGCATCAGGGAAGTTATCAAGAGCCCTGCACTTTACAGAACACCCTTTGCTTGTGGGCCAAGAAGTAAGCTCTGGGAGGCAGCCTGCTGGAGATGGGTGACTGTGCTGTCCACTGATACACCAGAAGAGCTGGTATTATGTGCCACCGATTCTGACAGTTGAAGTAGGAGGAAGTTAGTTTTTGTAGCTATTTTTGGAGTTGGTCCAATGAAAGTGCCAGCTGATGGTCTACTTATCATAGCCATCTACAACAGCTTTCTACAACACCTGGGTTTCTTTAGAAACTGTGAAGAGACACTTGGTAGGTGAGAAAGGGGAGCTTTTGCAAGTAACCCCTGCCACCTGCACCCCAGGTCCAGAATCTGCACAGTGCCCAGCCGTGCCTTCTAGTCCTCAGAGCGGTGACTCCACAGGCTCCCCAGCCTGTGTGCTGGAGGACAGCGCAGGCCTGGCCAAGGAGGGGCTGTCATTAAGAGTTGGGGCTGGGTGAGGGAGGCTGAGGCTCCTGGCAGAGACAGGGGAGCAGTGTCATGCAGAGGCAAGGCAAGGGGAGATGCCCAGAGCCTTGAAAGAGTTCCCTGTTTCCTTAGAGGAGTGTCTGCAGAAGTCAGCTCCATAGATGGTCTCGTGTGGGAAGTGGATAAAAACTTAATTTTAGTCATAAAAGGAAGGCTTACGGGGAGGAGGCGGCAGGGCTCTGGATGCAGCACCCAGGGCTGTAGATGCGGCACCTGGCTCAGAGACCCTGCCTGCCTCACTTGGCAGCTGCATCAGGTGTAGAAATTGTTGCAGGCTTGGGAAGGGCTCCTCAGAGGGGGTGTCATAAAGATATGTGCCACAGTGGCCCTTATTCTGCCAGGAAGACACTGCATCTTTATGTCACAGTGGCTGGAGCCCTATGTGTGGGGTAAGTGTGGTCCTCTCTCAGGTTGTGGCCCATGTTGCTGTCTGCCTTTGGACAAGTGTTAATCCTGTTGTGGTTTCTCATTTGCTGAGCCTTCAGAGGCCTGCTGTTAGCCCACAGAACTAAGTGTCATTGCCATTCTAACTTGGGCTCCATCCCAGGCTCTGTTCATTAGTGTTTCTTGCTGAGACCTGTGCAGCTTTGCCTAAGCCTGCTGCAGGTTTTCTCCTGTGAATGCATGGCCCCTGCCCCTGAAGCCCACCCAAGTGACTCCACCTTGGCCAGCTCAGGTCTGAAAGCTGGAGTACTCCTCAGGCTCCTGGGCATGAGGGGGCTGCAAGCCAGTGGCCGAATGAAACCCACTGAGTTCCAATGTCCGTCCTTCTGGCTGTTCACCTGTGGATGGCTCTGCAGGGCTGGTGCTCAGCACACTGACACATATCCTGACAGCTTGGCAGTGACCATCCCCCCATGGGTATTGGGAAT